AACCGCCCTAAACCCTGAACTCGGAACCCTAACCCTAAACCCTAACGACCCGAAACTAGGACAGAACCATAGCCCTGAACTGGGAACCCCAAACTCCGTCGTCGGATTTACACACGGCCGGGCAGAGGCCGGAGCTTTGTAGTGCGAGCGGACCTTGGCGATTCTTTCTGATCACGCAGTTTCGGGCCCTTAGGGTTTAGGGCCTAGGGTTCCCTTAGGTAGGGGTTTCAAGAAAAAGGTTGACGTAGGATCTTGGGCCGAAGGTTTCTACACAGCTTTCTGGTTTAGGGTTTAGGTCCGAGTCTTCGACAAGTAGGGGAGTGTTTTGTATTGGGTTTCAAAGGGGTTTAGGCTGAGGTTACCGATGTAGGATTTTCGGGCTGTCGGTTTACAATAACTAGACCAATAGAGGCCATACAGTTGGAACAGAAAAAAGCTTGGAAAAGGGCTGAAGGCTTATAGAACAACTATATTGAAACCTATTCGAAAAGATTATGATTGTCCCTGCCGCAATTTGAGGTGTAGGTTCTTGCGTTCAGAAGTCTGTGCGCAGAACACAATGTGGACCCCCTTCCTAAGTCACCTGACCCGTAAAAGCCCCGTTTCATAATGGGATCCCGTTTACAACCCTCTTCATTAAGGGAGACCGGGTTGCGTAATCAGGGGTCTACTACTACTATAGACCGCTGCATAACCTTAAACCCTTAAAAACCGTCTGCAACCCACTCCCTCTCCGACAGGGCGCAGTAGAGGCAAGGATTAAGTCGCGTTCTGCTCCCTGCAGGACCCAGGTTCAAAGTTTGTGGTTGAAGCTTCAGGGCCCGGAGTGCTGGTAGAGTCAGGGGCTTTAAGGAACACTTTGGCTAACTATGCAGGCCGAGGTATCAGGTGCTATTAGGGATGTACAGGGGTCCAGGCTTAAGGCTTAGTTAAAGGTTTAAGTACGATTTGCGAATATGTGGCTTTTGTCATCGTCTAAGCAAGCTTTGTCAGGATGTTCGGACTGCGGTGCTCCGTCTGAAAAACAGGTAAGGGCGTAGGGCTTAGAGCATGTACTTGAAGGGCTGAAACATCTACGTACAGCAATGGCTTTTGCTGCTTGTTACAAGAGATGTAAAATCGGTTGCCCGTGAGTCCCGACAGCAATGGTCGAGCTTCCAACACTTTGCTTGTGGACAGGGCCTTACTGTTCAATGCACCTCTCGAACGAATGCACTGCGCACGCCTGCACACTTAGCCACGACCCTGCAAGTATCAGGAAACAGGGAAACACCAATCACAGATGCCACATGGCCATATCTTCATCAATCCCAAAAAAAAAGTCTTTCCCAACCATGCAGAACTTGTCTATGTAACACAAAAATCACCGAAATGCCTGGACTCTACCACTGCTCAGCCTGGAAGCCATCCACAGTATCCACCTTAGCCAGATAATGTAAGGACCTTAATAATCAGAATAGGGTTTTGGGGCATAATCTACGATAGAAATAATAAGGAACACCCAAAATAGATAGAATGGAAATTTAGGACATAGTACGATATAACTTGAATGAGGAAGCCCCAAAATATAGACCCTAAGCCCTAAACCCCAAAATAGCGTGGGTAATTATTACAGCCCCTATTCTACTCTGTTCTTTCAGCGGGATGGTGGTGCTGCGTGGCATGGCGCAGCGTGGCGTGGCGCCCATCTTGTTGGGGGTTTAGGGGTTTAGGGCTTAGTGGTTTAGGATTAAACGCCTTCGGAGCTTAGGCCCTATAAGCCGTAAGGCTTAAGGGTTAAGTTTTAAGGGTTTCGGGGCTTAGACCTTATAGGCCTTAAGTTTGGGGGCCTTATAGGCCTTCAGTTTTCTGGGTTCGGATTTAAGGCTTTCGGGGCTTAGGCCTTGTAGGCCTTAAGGTTTAGGGTCAGGACCCAGTCAAGAAGTCTTCTCATGGGAATCCTGATGCAACCCCAGCATGCAGTGCGTGAAAGTCATTAAGGTTCATGAAGGTTACCCCAGAGAGCCCAATACGTTTGATCAAGGCTAAGGAAAATCACCTTAGATTAGCAGGGGCCTGAAAAACAATGAGTCCCGGTATATTCCTTGATTAATTAATGTACATGCTGCGGGGCTCTCAGTCACTTTCTAACAAAGCTCATGAAAACCCTAAACCCTAAAACCATACAAAACACCCCACCTCCAACCGTGAAGCCTAACAAAAATACACGGCCAAAGAAAAGCTCGAACAACTCAACCCCAATTGCAAACCGCAAACGCTTTAGAACCCATCCTATCTCAACTCTGAATCTCATCATTGCTTTGGCGATTGCATCCAGCTCTTGGCCAGGGTCCTGGCTGCTCGCAAACCACAAACTCTGTAGCTGCCCAAACCCATCCTATCTCAACTCTCAACCTCAAGCTGACATGAGGCAGTTGAGAATATTAGCTTCCGGCGACACCTGACGACATTCCTACATGCACATCAGTTGCAACGTCCTCCTTTTAATGCAGCTGACGTTCTTTTCGCTTCGGAACGGCCTCCATCATGCGTGCTTTGACGGTGTCCACCGAACACTCGGACCTTTCGTGGGCAGCTTGGCAAAACACTGTGTGCCGACGACGTGCCTGCGTCCTGATCATTCACACCGGGCACTAGAGCCTTGATGATGTCCCTGTGGTTGTCGGATGTGAACCACTGACATGTGTTGGGACCATCACTTTCTTGGCGACAAGTTTCCAGGTCTGAGTGCGGTTCTGCTGCCTGTCCGCACCGACACCTGGCATACGCCGTGAATTCATCACCAGTCTCTGTCGTGGTGGTTCTTCCAAATCTTCCAAATTGGCCCACCTGCGTGTCTCACGTAGGAACTCCTTGTTATCGCGAGGGCACTTGGTCAGCCGTTTGCTTTCGCGCTCTTTCCAGACCCTTTGTTTTCCCCATGGCTGTAAAGTGACTGCAGCGGCTCAAGATTTCGGAACAACTTATAGTTTGGAAGTCTTACAGTCCTGCTGCATCCAAAGAGCAGCTAACTCTGCCTACAGTGTTGTTCGAATCTGAACATGTGCCGTGCTACCTTCAACTCGGCACCCCTGCAGATGCTATCGAGCAACTTCGGCGCTGTTGCGAAGGGATTCAGCATCACTCTGCCGAAGGGGAATGCTCACATGCATTGCCACTCTGCTCCTCTGCTTTTCACCCGCTTCCTTGCAGCTGCAGCTAGGCTGTTGGACAATGTCACCCGAGCCAGCTGCACATGTTGCATCGCCCTGCCCTAATTCTCCTCTTTCTCCTTTCTTCGCAGTTGGAGGAAGCTGAAGTTGACATGACTCCCACGCAAAAGGCACACGTCACAAGGACAAGGGCCGGCACCCACGGATCCCGCAGTCAACCAGCCAGTTCCATCTCCTTCTCATCGGCCGTACGGCGCGCACGACGGCGACCGCGTCTTGACGTTTTTTTTTTTCCTGCGGCCGAATGGAAGTCGTAAACACCGAACGCACATGGCGACTGACACACTGCAAGCACCTCCGGACCGCGCAGACGCATCAGGCGCCTTGTGCTTGACCGGGATCTGCCAAATTAAGGTCCTGACGGGCAATGTCGAGCACACATGTCGCAACATCCTAGGAGCCTCACTCGTCTTCTTCGCTTTCAGGTCACGTTTTCGTCTCCGGGCTGGCGTTTGCCATGACTCCTAGGCAAAAGGCACAACTCACAATGACCGGCATCCGCAGTCAACGAGCCAATTTCATCTTCTTCGCATCCGATAACGTTCAGAAGCCCACGTCTTTCTGCCAAAAAAAATGCTTCCGAAACCACGAGTCGGACATCCAAACCAGCGGTTGGACAACACTGCATATGTACTAAACAAAAATGTTAATAATATAAACGCGTATATTATACATGTCGCGCCCCGCCCCTGTCGGCTTCGGTGGCTGCACCTGCTGAAGGTGACCCGGGACTGTCTGCACGTGGTTCTCGCGAGTTGGCACCGCCGACAGAGGGTCTCGCTCCACTTGGGCCACCGGGCGGCGGCAGCAGCTGCAGCAGCACCAGCGTACACGAGGAACCGCGGTCGCCGCAGCTCGGAGACACCCAGGCCAGCATGGATTTCGGAATCTCTAAGCAGAATCTGGAGATAGCCTGTTGAAGTCTGCAGCCCTGCCAAGCGAGCCCAGGGCCCTGTACCGGCGAGCTTGTCGGCCCTCCCAGACTCCGCCTCAAGAGCACAGCAACTGGAGCCGTTTACACTGTTTCCCATGACATCACGACCATGCAGAAATTCCTACATATGCAACACTGCGTGGCTCATGTAAAGTTTGGAATCACGATGTACTTTACCAGAATGTCATGTGTGGATTCTTTTGACAGCTGCGAGATGCTCAGATGCAGCTCCTGGTGCGGTGTGTTTATCCCGCCCAGTCCACTCCAACATCTTTGCAGTACTGGGAACAGAAGCCCCGAAGGTAATTACTTCTTTGTAGCCGGCTGATCGCAGCCGTCTCTTTGGCACCGACGCCGCTCAGACGAGGGGATCAGTGGGCACGACTTGGGCAGAGCCCCTGGTGGAGCGTTGGGATGCGCTGGCTTGCACGGTTCTTCTTTCACACTTCGTGAAATGCTTTCATGACAGTGAGGCTGTCCACACACTGCAGAAGCTACCTTGCTGCAAGTTGAACTTGCAGCCGTGTTGCTGCCCGTGGTTTCGGCCCTTGTCCTCTCTGCAGCGTTTGCAGAAGTAGCCGTCGAAGCCTGGCTGCCTTGGCTTGGGATGTGTGCGAAACTGAATCGCAGTCTAGCTTCGAGTGTGCCTGGAACTTGCACCCCGGCTGCCGGCAGATCATCGATATGAGGGCGGATATGGCAATGGAATACCGCGGCTCACAAACCAAAGCCTTAGAAAGGTTTCAGTGATGGCCACGCGGCGGTCACGTGCTTCTGATAATGAATCATCTTGGACTATGAAACGTTACCATAGCATCTTGAGCTCGCGTGTGGAATGGTTAGGGTGGTTTGGTTCAAGCCTTCTTCCAGTGGCTGTACGTGTGGACTGCCAAGTCTTGGAATGCCACTTCCTGTGGAAGCGAGCAGCACAGCCGCCTTAGAGCACAGGGCGGCGCCTTCATGGGCAGAACCACCTCGGCATGGAACTTGAGGGTCTTTTGGGTTTGGGGGGCATCGCCTTGATGAATTTAAAAGGTTCAACGAGAAAGTCTGCAAGGGATTCTGTATGGAGTCTCTAGGGCGGAGCTTTCGTGTTTCAGGGTTTAGGGGAGTGCTGGGATCCAGGGGGCGAAGCACTAAGGTTCTGGGGCGAAGAAGATGTTTGAGTCTCCTGATGTGTTGAGGACTTCACCCATTCAGACCGTGGTACCCTCTTCTCATTGGCCGCCCGAGGGTTTGCTTCAATATACCCCCACATGACAGCTGGAGATCGGTGACCTCAAAAGTCACAGACGCACACTCCGTTTTCTCGCTGCGTTTTTAGAGGTAAGTCTCTCGCCGAGGTTTTTGCCGCTGGCGACAACATATCCAGTCGTCTTTTGGGCACATTGGCCTCCACATCGGGCCTTAAGAGAACCCTGTCAAGCCCTTCAATTCCGGATCAAATCCCTTAAAGGCCTAAAACAACCCTCAACCCTAAAACCCTAAAGCCCGTCTATCTAAAACCGGGAAGGCCAGGTAGCTCTCAAACCAGGCAAGCCCAACTTGGCCACTTCCTTCTGAAGCAGAGCCTGGTAGGGCTTGGAAAAAGTTCTATGTGACTTTTGGAGGATCCAGTAGGAGGAACCATAGTGGGTCCCTTTTCGGGCTCCTTAAAGGGAACTATAAGAGCTTCTGTAGCATTTCTGCAAGCGTACTATAAGGGTTTTATGTGGGTAGTTCTCTGAACTAGGGTCGGGTCCCGATTTAGGTCCAGAAAATAGTATGGCACCCTTACACTACGGACCTCAGAAGAAACCCAATTCAAAGAACTACCCATGTGAGTTTCTGAGATCTTCAGAATTTCTAGGGTCCTTAGAATTGTTTAAACGAAATCCACACGTTCTGTAAGGCTTCCATCTTCTACATAAGTACCAAAATGTCAGTGACCCCACCCCTCCAAAATCACCCGCTTGCCCTCCCCCTGCCTTGACTCCTTCCTTGCTCTCCTCCTCCGCCTGCCTGCCTTGCNNCCTTGCTTCTGGCTGCGCCGCCGAACGCAATCTCCTCCCCTTCCCCTCATCCGCTCCGCCAACGGCGCCTTCAGCACCAGCAGTTCGTTGGCCCTCTTTGTTTGCGGCCGGGCCGAGGCGGACGACGCGAAGCGTTTTATTATGTTGTGTCATGAACTCCTAATCCAGACCTACTCACCTCGTCTGGCTGCACTGCCGAATGTTGTCGCTTCCATCGTGGGCCAACAGCTGTCAACCCTACATCATTCATCGAAATGTGCTTCTTTTGCGTGTTCTTTTGGAAAGACTAGTGACTCCTCAAATTCTAACCCGGAGAGTGTTACGACAAAGAAACTGCTCCTATGATTTAGGGTTAGGGGGGGGGCCCAAACTCATCCAAACTCTACTGTACTAACCCCTGAACCCTAAACCCGCCCCAGTCGCCGCACCTGCTGCGCAGAGTAGCCGGTGATGATGCCAACCTGCAGAGGATAAGAGTCGACAGCGATTCATGATTCATGCCCCTCCTTGAACAACGGTTTGGGTTTGAGTGCGGCTGCAAGTACGATACCAGTTTCCACCTCGTAGTAGACAGGACAGAGAGAAAATCAAACAAGCAGAGCAAGCACAAGGGCCGTACAGAAACAGACATGAACGAAAACCACAAAAACGGACATGGAGAATGAAGACGAAAACAAGGGCGGATCGAGCATGCCAGCGTGACATATACATATATAAGTATGTATAGAGAGATAGAGGAAAAAAGACTGAGAACGATTGAGTACACTAAAAACAGAAAGAGCAATGAAGACCCGACAGATGAAGCGAGAAACCAAGAAACACAGCACGAAATCAACAAAACACAAGAGACACGGTGAGCGAGAGCAACCCGAATCCTAGATACCGAAAAACTGAAACAACAACTTTTCAACTGAAGCCTTCTTGGAATTCCAGGAATTCGAGCGCTCCAGTCCTGTCTAGTTCTTTGGGGAGGACATCTGTGGTCAGCAACGTTACACAATCCTGAAAAACCTTAAATTTATATGACTTTAGCTTTCATTGCGACCTGATGTAAGGTACAAGCCTTGTATAAAGCCACTAAAAGTCATCGCCGGCCTGGCTGGGCAAGGTACCTTCGGCGAGGCAGCGTTTCAGCACCGTCAGGAGGACGTTGGCCTACGGACAGAGAGCTCGCGGGCAGCGGGGGGAATGGGAAATCCTAATGCCTCACTAGCCCTAAACCCCAAGCCCTAAACGAAATTTTGAGGGCCCTATTGGCGGGCACTAAGAAAACCCTTTACCCTCCAGACCCGCATAGATCTACCCTAAACCCTAAACCCCAGGAACCCTGAAACCCACCGCTTGGCTGCGAGCCTCTCTTCGCGACTCCCGAAACCCCGAGCTTTAGGTTTCTACGGGATTGAGGCTGTAGGGTTCGGGTTCAGGGGATTGGGTGCTATGGTTTAGGGGCTTAAGCTTTAGGGTGTACAAGGGTTTCGGGTTCTGCGTCTTGGGAATTTCTTCTGAGCCTGCAGGAAGCCTCGGCATTATCGCCTGTAGTGCTCGCGTCGAGCTCAACAACGTCAAGACGGCCTTCTAAACCCTAAACCCTAAACCCTAAACCCTAAACTCTAAACTCTAAACCGTTATCCGGTTTAACCCTAACCCTCCAGGTACCTACTACACAGGGCCCAGGGCCCTACTGTAGGGGCTCTAGTACCCT